ACATGGAGAATATCTTATTCTGATTAGGATACCAATGTTGTTGATGGACATGATGTGGAGATTTACAGTTGTGTATTCATATGTGTACCTAGTAAAGTTAAGGCATTTATTTTTTTAAGCTCCAAAAGCATTCGAGGGTTAGCCTGTGATTAAAAAGTTTTGAAAGGACAATTTTGAAAAATTCAAAATAGAGCTTAAGGTAATCACAAGATTCCTTGTGATCTTTCTGTCCAGATGGACAGGTTTTTCCTAAACCAATTTTGTCAAGGTTATTACAGAGGATCTTGTTCAACTTGCACGTTTATCAGGTGGATATTGTAGACAAAGCTGCTGGGAATTGATTCTTAACAATGTCTTGGGAAATTCAAATCTTAGCTTTCTGTTTTTCTCTCTAGTTTTCAATGCATTTTGTTTCCTGCATATTTCTTTATCTTATGAGGGTATTGTATGCATGTATAAATAATTTTTAAAAGTATAATTTACTTAGTATTTCTTTTGTGTTTTGTAGCTTTTAAATTGTTTGCTTGCTTCTCTTCTACCTTGCAATGAGAAAAAATGTCTTGCCTGTGGTTCATATATTTACAGAAATACAAGGATCACAGAAATCTAAGGATCAAGAGATAAGATAATTTTTAGGTTTCCAAATTTAACCAGAATGTAAGCCTTGCTTAGCTTGAGTGGGTAGGGTACCTAGGCAAAAAGGAGGTTCAGGAAACTCAATTAAAGGATAGATTGCAACATAAGAACACAGAAAATAAATGAGGAAGAGGAAACAGTGAAGAGACAGAGACTGTGTAAGCAGAAATAAATAGGTACACAGACCTAGTAAAAGCCTGGTAAAGCTGAAATGGAATTAGAGAATATTGAGTTCTTTCAACGCAGTCATCTTACAGCGAGGAATTAATTCTGCTATTAAATGGTCCAGACAGGAGTACACCCTAGTTTTCAGGTTGGAACCTATACACTGTTGTAGATCTGAGAGGTAAGAAGGCAGAAGCTAGAGATGGGCACTGCTGCCAGAATCCAGGAAATGGAGAGAAAAACTTGAAGGAGAACTGAAGGGGAAATGAAAGGTCCCAAGAGGGTCATGTGATTGTGGGTTTCTCTAGTAGGGAAGTGAGCAGAGGGCAAAACTTCTGCTTCTGGGGAAGAAGGGGTTGACAGAACAGAGTGCGAGGCTGTGAGGCATGAGGTCACGACATCAGAGTCCTGAGGAGAGGCTAAAGTCACCCACTAGAGCAGAGTTAGGGGAATGTCACACAGGAGACCAGGCAAAGGGGAACAGGCGAGCACTTATGGCCTGAGTACCAGCAGGACATTGGAAGGAGCCTGGGGAGCTGTGACAGAGGAGGAGCACAGATGTCCCAGTGGGAGTGGAGACCCTTGGTTTAGGCTGAGTTCTAATGGAAGGGTGTCCCCCTCTTTCCCGATTATCCAGTTGGGGTTTTGGGTGCCCAGAGAGCCTATATAACTGCTTTCTTCTCTTGCCATGGAATTTTATATACGTTTCAGGTGCCTGGATCTATAAATTCTCTCCCTTTGGGGGCAATTAATATATAAAAGCCTTTTTGAATAAAATTGACATGCTTAGGAATCTAGAATTTCTTCAGGAGAGCAATTGAAATATTTTAAAAATGAGATTGATATGATCAGGTTCAAATTTCACATAATTCAAATGTCACAGGTTTGTGGTGCTCAGTTAAGGTACCATGAGCACTAATCTATGTCACACTTAATATGAGCAGAACTGGGTGTCAATGAGGCCAGGAAAAAACAAATTTTAGAAATGGAGAGAGCCAATGTGGTAATTGTGAGGAGTAAAGGAGAGGTAAGTTTCCCAAGAAAGCAGGGTTGCGAGTTTTGTGTAGCTGAAGGGTTATTGCCATGTGAACTGGGTACTGACTCTGTTTGTTCCCTTGAGGGAAATTTTCCCCAATTATTTGTTGTTTCTTTTCTCAGCCTTAACTCTTATGAAAATGAAGTGAATTACCTCACTGGTAAATCCATGAGAGAAACTGGTATATATACCTTTTAGCATCTTTTCTCCACCCTTTACCTTGGGAACCAAGGTGCTCCCAGAATGTGCATCCTGTTCTCCTTCTCCATGCTCAAACTCACAGGAATGGCCTGTCAGATGGACAGAATTAAGGATTTTCTGACATTGCAAAAGCTGAGTGTGTTAGTCTGCGTTGGCTGCTATTACAAAATGCAATAGTCCAGGTAGCTTAAAAAACAGAAATTATATTTTTTCACAGTTCTGGAAACTAGATGTTCAAGATCAAGATTCTGGATTCAGTTTCTGCTAAGGTTCTCTTCCTGGTTTGTAGACAGCTGCCTTCTTTCTGTGTGCTCACCTGGTCATTCCTCGGTAGGTACACACACACACACACACACACACACACACACACACACACACAGTGAGTTAACACTAGTTCTTTGGTGTCTCTTCTTAAAAGGGCACTAATCATATCAGATAAGGCCCCACTATTAGGATCTCATTTAAACTTGATTACTTCCATAACCACACTGGATATTGGGCCTTTAACATACCCAGTCCATACACAGGGAGTATGGCCATTCCATTTAGGGTTCAATACAAGCAAGATTGCTTGGGTTTCACATTTAAGGGAAATCCTCCAGCATATCTATCTGAAGCAATAGATAGCAGTTTGATGCAGCTGTCTCATGCTATCTTTATCTCACCTGGTTCTAAATTTTGGAAATGTTGCTGTTTATAGGGCTCTATAATGTTACCCAGTCTAACTCAATTGTGTTGAAGCTACACATAAACTTTAGAGTCTTAGAGGATGTACACAGTGAAGTTTGTTTCTCATTATGTAAACTCTATGTAGAACTGGGAGTCCTTCTTCGTCTCTTATCTGCTGTTTGGAAGATGGTACTTCAGGGCAAGATGATCAGATGGGATATTTCACAAGGTCAGGCATGGAAATGGCATTACTCATGTCAGTGCCTGTAAGTCATTCTCCTGGCTCTACCTCCATTATAAGGGAAGAGGAGGATTGTGCTTCTCCTGAAGGCCCACAGAGAAAATAAATGTGACATATGCATGGCATTTTATCTGTTATCACTTCCTAAAACCACAAAGAGCTTGCTTGCTATTGACAAGATGAGAGCTGGTACTGGTGAGGGATTTGGGTAGGGCTTCAACTGTAAATTGTTCTTAAAGGAGTTTGTAGCTCATAGAACTGCAAATATCTGTAGCTATGATAGGAAGAGTTTGTGAGAGTGACAACCAGCCTCATTATTAGTGTTGAAAAATCTAAGTAAAACATAATGTATATGAAAACATCATGTTTTACAGGATAAACACATACAATGAAATACGCTGTAAGAAGAACAATGTTACAAATGGGATTTTCAGTAATAGATCCCTGTATTGGGTGGATATTATTTTAAGGACATTATAATAATAATTGCATTTCCTGGGTCTCACAATGATTTTGTTTTCATGTGTCCACACACATAAACCAGTCAGTATTACTGACAAATCATTAAGTACCTCTCATAATAACTTGAATAAATTCAAACATTGACAGACACTGCCTTTTAAAAAAATCAATTTGGTTAGGTCACAAAATGTAACTTAAACATGGATTTTCATGGTCTCCCCGTGCATGTAGCCTCCTGCCCAAACACAGTTACACACTGCACAGTAGTTAGCCCCCAGGTTGAAATGCAGGATGTTCTTCGGAATTTTAAATGATGGACGGTTTAGGCAGGCAAAATTCTTCTTTTGAAAATATTGTTCAAAACAGATTTGTCTCGGGAATTCTATATATGAATTTTATACATCTTAGTTCTTGATTTAAATGTGTTTCTGTAGTTTAAAGTCCCTTGATATGTCAAGTTATATTGTTAATCTCTGTATGTTCACATGCCTGTGATTGATGGTACTAATCATATATTGAGAAACTCTTCTTGGTGGCTGAATGTATGGATTAAACTCAATTGAAGGACTTATTTATGTATTTATAGTCTTATATAGTCTTATCTACCTTTAAAAATCTCTTTTATTTAATTTTTTAAAAAATTTCCGATACAAGGTCCCAGAGTAGCACATGTCATGCCCATAAACAACTGCCAACTACATTGTCAGATGAGCAGCAAAATCTGCTACTCCACTCTGTGACTTGATGAAGAGACCAACTGCCCACTTTGAGTCCTGTCACTTAACTATGCCATTGTCCAACCTACCACATGGCTGTGATGACTCAGAGCACATTTTAGTATCTGGATGGCAAGGACACATTGAGTGGCAAGTAAAATAAGTAAGTGTCCTTTGTGTATTAGATGGGAAGATATAAAGAAAGGATATGAAGGGAAGCCAGTTTCATTTGATGCCTGAGTCCCCAAAGTCCCTTTCATCTATGACCTTGACCTATACTAGGAAATCTGTCAATGCCGTATGGAGAACCTGCCCATTTGCAATGAGATGGAGCTCCTTGCTCTGAAGGGCTGCAGGAAGGATGAGAGAGTCACATGAGGTAAGAACTTGAAATTGGAGTTAAAGTTCATGAGTCAGATCTTCTATACTTTGAAAAGCTACAATTTCATCTCTTAAAAAAATGGAGAGTGCATGGGGAAGTCCTAGGAGCCATGGAAATGCGATCTCTCCAGTTCATCAAAGAACCAGTGAAAATCAAGAAATGAGAATTGTGGAGGAATAAAGGGTGAAATAGGAAAGAGAAAACTAGGAGGACAGTGAAAAGGGACGGAGAAGCAGGGAGGGTTGAGAAGAGGACCGGAGGGAGCATGAGGCCTAGCTCAGAGCAGAAACGGGAAACACTGTGACCCATTCAAACAAGCAGGAAGCCATACAGTCTCTTCTTTTTATGTGATAGAATGCAAGACTCGGGGAGTTGAAGTGACCCTTGGGTGCCACACACTACTTTGTCCAAGGGCATTTGAGGAAGGAAATACGATGGAGGCTTACTGAAAAGGAGAACTGCTGGAATTCAGAGAGAAGGGGATAACTTTAGCTCAGAGCGGGAGGGGAAATGAGAGATTGAGTAGGAGGCTCAGTGTGAGGCAAAGTCTAGATTTCCTTTGCTGCCATCAGTGACTGGTTCAGAAAATGACGAGTGAGAGGAGGAAGCCAGACTAGTGGTATGGAAGGGGAGGTTTGTTGACATCAGCCATCAAAGACCACCAGTCTTGCTGAGAGAGAGAAGGAAACACCTGCAGACGAAATGCTGCTTCTGTACCTTGCGTCGTTGGCTCTCCTCCTCCCAGGCAGTGACAATGCACATGGTAAGAACCTCTCTGCCAGCTGCCCAGCTCGGGGGATCCAGGTGGAGCATGGTGGGCTTTCCCAAGATGGACCCTAATACCAAGATGCTTACCATCTGAGTATCCCTTTTATTCTTTTGGAGGACGGTGACAGGGCGTGCTGCTCTGTGCATGAAGAAGGTCAAGGCTAAGGTTCTTTCTCTGGGAACTGGACCACTTACCATCTTCTCCCTATCCTGCTATCCACTCATGTTTGCCTTATACTATTTGACATTCTTCCATCCCCAGTGGTCCAGGAACGGATCTCATTCCATCTCATCCAGATCTCCTCCTTCGCCAACCAATCTTGGGCAAAGCATCAAGGCTCAGGTTGGCTGGATGAGTTGCAGATTCACGGCTGGGAGAGTGAATCAGGCACAATAATATTCCTGCACACCTGGTCCAAGGGCAACTTCAGCAATAAGGAGTTTGCATTCCTGGAGCTGCTATTCCGTGAATACTTCATTGGATTAACTCAGCAGATTCAAACCCATGCCAGTCAATATCATTTCGAATGTAAGTTCATTCAACACAGCTAAGGGAATTCTTCAGAGGATTGATCTATTTCTGGTTAACCCTCTAGGCCTATCTAAATAGGGCCATTTTCTACTATCCCATTCCACCATAAAAGTCAGCATGAGTAAATCTTTTAGGGGATTATTCTAAATATTGATTCTTTAAAATTTCTTAGACTTTTGTTATTTTATTTT